AAGCTGATATGAGTGTTTTCGATTAGAATAAAAAATAGTTATTTGATTCTGGTATATTGTGATAATTATTATGATAATAATAAATGTGGATTGGTATCACAAAGGTTAATTATTTTGTTTTATCTATACTTTATGAATACGAGGTAGGTATATGTACCTAACTATTTTTTTTTTTGTAGATGAAATTCAACACTGTAATAATTTTTTTTGATCACATTGAATTTTCATATTCAGTTAAAGCTTTTTATTATTTATTGTGTTTTATTTAATTAAAAAAATTTCACATATTAAACATGATTTACAAATTATTTTTGATCGTATTTAAAATTTTATTTCAGCTATTTGTTGCTTTATTAGTTAAATTGTTTTGTTAATATAAATATTTTAAATATTTAAAATATTTAAAAAAATCTCATCTGAGATTTTTTCCTGAATAACAAAATTATTTTATCTATAAAATGAGCTACACTAATTCAAATTATAAAAATAGTTTGTTATTCAATAAAATGTAATAAATCAACAAAGAAAACTAGTAACCAGTTTATTGAATCATCATGCATATTAAATGCTAGACGGATGTAATAGTCCTATTTAGTAACGTTATTTTGGAGTTTGAACTTCAGTAATTAGATAAATATTACATTTAAACCGTCCCTAATATCATATTTAATCGTGTAAATTATGCAATTTTAGTAAACTATAAATCAATTATTAGTTTATACTCTAACAAAATAATATATAAAATTAATTTATCATATTATTTTTAATTACCTAAAATGACCAATATTCTTATCATAGATTCGTAGCAATTACAAGTATTATTAAGAAAAACAACTTAAATAAATTTAAATATTATATTATAATATTAATAAATGATAAGGTACATTATCTATATCGTAGATAAAATAATATTAATTGCTAACATATTACATTGATTACGTCGACTTCACAAATATTGATTGATTGATATCAATATTTGTTTTTCGAAAATACAATATACAAATGATTTTTTGGACCAAAAAATGTAAGACAACTTACATATGTTTGGTTTTAACTATTATTTAAAAATCGCTATTGAACTTTATCGATCAATCTTTTTTAGATATTAGCTTTGCTCATAATCTTGTTTAATTTATCATTGATTCAAAATGTACACAAATATTATTATTTTAACTTGTCTAATCTATAGTGACCTACTGAAAGCTTGAATTATATTCTACTCTTCTTCAAATACCTTATGTTTGAGAATTAATGGGACGAAATGTAAATATTCGATTTCGGTTTCCCATAATCATTTTAGTTTTTGGGTGATGTTTGTTATTAACATTTCAAACAGAAATAAATGTTTAGAAAGACTTAGACTGAATTTTCTTGGAATATTGCAAATTAATTTGTATTGAGAAGAATGGTAAGATAATAATAAAATATCGACTGTTAAATCTCTAGCCGTTTTAAGGGGAGGGAGAGAAAAATGGGACAAGTGCCCTAGGGCGTCTAAAGTATTATGAACTTAGGTGGTGTCATAAAAATGGCGTCTAATGTTATAGCCCTAGAACGATATTGGTACCTAGCTAAGACGGCAAAAATTACATCATATACCATTGTAAAATATAGTTGGGATAGGTTATTACTTTGTTTACTTTATTATATGTTTCACAACTAGAATACGGAATCGTACATTAAGATATTTAGTGATCATCATTATAATACTTAATAGTAATATACTCATAAATTATTACAGTTTTAAATTTTATATAGATACTATATTTATGATCTACACAACTACAAAATATTTTCACCTAGTTCAAAAAAAGAAACTTGACTCTGTTATTCATAAGGTCATATAGGTACATTTGATAGTATTTGCTAAAGTTCAAAACATTTATGTATTTTTATTATCTAGCTATGAAAATTAATTGTGTCTTCTTCTCTTAGCTTAACGGTCCCTATAGGATCTGAACTGCCTCAAGCGATTTTCTCCATCTATCCCTATTAAATTTCAGATCAACTAACATATTTCTTTCTCACACTTTAATATCCTTCTCGACAGCTTCTTTTCATCTCGTACGTGGTCTACCTATTAGTCTTATTTTACTCGTATGTATGCTTTCCATTAGTACTTTTCGTGTGATATAATTTTATTTTATGTCTGACTTTTTTTATGGATATAATTATATTTTAATGTTAATGAAAATTGCGAATATAAAAGTATGTTTGTTGGATAATCTTAAATTTATAAATGAGTTATTTTTAGGTCTTTTGTATAGGTCACTGAAATCATATACTTGCATATAGATGAAAACCCTTTTCTATTTAAAAATTTATTTCAATACATTTTATTTTATACGAACTTGATTGAAAATGAAGGTCATCTTACGAACATATGTGTTTAATTCATCGGAGAATATATAATAATATAGTATATCAAATATTTAGTTCTTGAATGTAATTAAAAAAAAAAAAAAAAAAACAATATATAAATTACTAAACAGTTTATATTTAGAAATAAATAAATAAATGCTTAGCCTGGAATATTATTATATTTATAAAACATGAATGGTTCCCAGGTACATACAAAGTCAAGAAAATCGCGACTGAATATAAGAAAATAAAAGAAAGAACAATACATTGAGAAATATTGGTGATTTTACATAGAGATAATTTATTTTAATAGGAGAGATTATTTAAAATAAATTCTTATTAAACATAGAGATATGTTATGAAATATAAATACTTTGGTTATTATTATTTACGATTATCTAAATTATATTGATTTAAACATTATTTTTAAAATTGTCTTGTACATATAAAATATTATTAAAATAATTTTCTATTAATAAAGAAAAATAACATCCATTTATCAATACTTTTAGATAATAATAAATAATAATAATAAAAATATTTATATTTCACATATATATGTAATAATACATATATTACATATCTGATATTTCATAATATATTTATACCTAATAAGAATTAATTTTAAATAATCTTTCTTATTATAATAAATTATCTCTATATAAAACTACCAAATTTTTTTTTTAATGTATTTCTTCCTTTTTATATTTTTTCATACTCCGTCACAATTTTATTGACTTTGTGTACCTATACCTATCGATGAATTTTTAATTTTACAAATATAATAATACTCTAGAGTAAGCATTTATTAGTTTATTTCTATATCAGGCGTGGATACAATGTTAGGTTAAGTTATAAGTATAAAACTTGAGTATTATTTGTTTTTGAAGATTCACAATCAGTATACTCTTTTTTTAATATTTAAAAATCAAAAAATGCGTTTTATTTAATAAAAAAAGTTATTTTGTGTAATTATATTAATATAGATGAAGTTCAACATCAAATTAATGTTTAAATTTTTATATTTGCCCAATCGTCATTGAAGATTTGATATGGCACTTCCCAATTTTGGTTGGATTTGCCATAAAATGAATGTGTATTTTGTCTATGTATATATGTGTATATTTTTTATGTTGTATACGCATAAACATGTATTTAATGTACCATGAAATCAGAAACGTTCAAAAAATTATCATTTTAATAGTGATACGTACTAATTCTTTAACTATAAATAAATCCTAAATCGGTGATTTAAAATAATTTTGAAGTATTAATTCTTGTTTATATTATTTATTATTTAATCAATTAAATTCTGGTTTTTTATTATAAATTCGTTTATTCGTTTATTCGTTTATTCTACAATAAGTGTTTATCATTGCTACACATTACTTAAATTATGGTAGTCTATTAAAAAAAAATTGTTTTATAAATACAAATATGATTATTTTATGTTTATTATGCACACGTTTATGTATTTCCGAATGTACAAAAAAAAAGCCAAATTTGTTACCAATGTATAAATTCATTTAAGACAATTTTTTAAGTGAACAAATTATAAATTTCTTAGCAACATATTGCAATAATAATGGTCTTTAATTGTTAGTTTTTGTAAATATTGGTAGTCACTAGTTCAACCTTATCCTGACCATCTTAAAAATTAACAACAATCCATGCCAAATGTACCGTTTTCGAGATATATTTCCACTGAATATCAGTATTACGTGAATCTATAGGTAATATCCAAGAGTGTATATAAGAATTGGATTAGAGAAGTTGTCTTTTTTTTATGAGATTTTTTATTTTTAACTATTTATTAATAAAATTAATTAGAACATATGATATGTTTTTATTAAAATTGTTTTTTTTCAAGTTTGCGATTATATTGATTTTTTATGTATCTGACAATAAATTTTTAAATCAGAACCGATCGTACTTTAAAAATATAATAATATTCCAGACTAAGCATTTATTTAATTTATTTATTTATAAATACAAAATATTTGTTTAATTATTTATATATTAAAATACTTTCATTATGGCTACTGAATTACAAATTTCCTTTCATTTTCAACTCAATCATTGTCCACCAGTACCCCAAACTATTCAATCTTTGTAAGAAAATTAGAGTAATTTGATAAATATATAAATATAGTTGAACAACAATATCGAATTTCCTGAAAATGTTCTATAACATCGGTAAATTGGTAAATCGATTCTATAAAATACAAACGTGATGAGACCTAACCAAATATATTTAGATATTATGAATACAGTTACATAAAGATTACTATGGATCAGACTTAAAAGCAATTCAGTGAAATATATATTTCATTTTCCTCGAAATGTTTGAAAATCAATTATATACGACGTATTTAATACAAGTTGGATATACTCACAATAATAGTACAGGTTAGCTAAAAGTAAACAGACGCGCGCGCTCATATTTACACTGCTGCAGCTGTATGCAGCTGTAAGAGAGAAAAGAGAGACCGATGCGTGCCGACGTAGATGGTGAGTTCGCTGAGCGATGATGCGGATGCCATGCCATGTACAGACGGACGGATGGAAAAGGTAAGCTGTAACAGTGTAAATAGGAAATAATATTATGGCAGTGATATCACAGCGATCGGCCATCTCGGACGCCAAGAGGCAGCTATGTATGACATGTTCAAGCAAACGATCGAGCGCGTACACATGAGGCCGTTCGTTATGTGCGTACGCCCCCGCACGCCATGGCACGGGTAGAAGGGTGCGGCTGCCCCGTGCTCGACGGTGTACACATACGCACGCGCGCGGCTGCTCGGCGTAAGGGTAGCAATGGATGGGGTGGCGGCGGCGGTGGCGTCGCGGCGTCCGTAACGAGAGTGCTCGGCATTATCGACCTGCACGCCACTTGATTTGCCGCCGTCGCCGCTGCCGCTGCCGCTACCGCCGCCGCCGCTACCACCACCGTCACCAGCGTCGCTCATTCACGTTCGTTGCGACCCTGTGCGCGACGATCGCCACTACCATCAAAAACACGATCGCACACCCCGTCAGGTGTTCAAAGTTGTTATATTTTTAAGACGGGCAGGCACGTAGTTTTCACTCCGTGCCGTTATTTTGATTTTCCGCAGATATCAATATAGGTGCAGGAGCTGCTGAAATTTCGAGTAGGTTCGGTGGTCACGCGTTGCATGTGCCGAAAATCCGATGTCGTTTTCGCCGCCGTGACCGCGGTCGTTACCGCCTCCTCGCAGTGGACCGTCGCAGACGATTCTTTCGGTTGCTGGCCGGGCGGTAGCGGGGCTAAGAACGACGAAGACGAAGACGACGACAACGACCGAGACGGATACTGCTCTCTATTAGTACTACTACCGATTTCATCATGCCAATGACGATCGTGTGACTGCGGCTGTGGCCTCCTCTTCCGCCGCCACCGAGGACATGAAACAGAAGAAGAAGAAAGATGAACAGCCGTCTGCTGCTGATGAACAGCAGCAGCTATGCAACGGTGCTGGCGAACCGAGACCCAAAAAGTCGGCGCTGAAACGCACGGCGACCGGCAGCAGCTCCAAAGCAACAAAATCAAGTAAGAACAAACGGCACGTGCAGTTCAACGAGAGCTTGAATGTGTTCTTCGAGTCGGACTACGTGATCGTTATCCGTGATGACGACTGCGATTTCGACGAGGAAGACTTTGACTTTTGGTCGCAACAGCCTTGCAGTTGTGGTGACGAGTCATGTTTTCAGCCATGGCTGGACAATGACGACGGTCGTGGCCGCGGGCTGCCGCCACTAGATCCATACGAAGAACAACCCGCCACGCTCAGTCCGCCGGATGGCTACAAGGATGGCTGTCCCAGGCACGTGCCACCATCGTTGGACCATCTGAAATATGGTAATGCTGGACGCTAATTTTAAATATAGGTACATACTTGGTATTGCCACTAATGGTACAATAATGATACCTCGAAGGCTAGAATATTAATTAAAAAAATTATAGATTCTCAGTAATATTTTATTCGTCGATATTTTCATGATACAAGTGTTGCCTACATTTTTCTTGTGAATAGTGGACTACATCCAGAATGTATAAAATATAACTACGAGCCACCGTTATAATTGAGCTGCGAACCGAAATGAGAATTAACAATTATTATTTCTAATTTCACTTAACCATCAAAATTAGTTTTTTTGTTCAATAGATTTGGCCTAATACAAAAATATTAATATTCGTTTTTTCCACGTGGATTGATAGTGATACACAAAGTTTCACTTCAACGGTTCTTGGTCGAAAATAATGTTAAATATCTCAATGTAGATTATGTAAGAAATGACAACTGATGGTGAGTGATGCGTTATTAATAATAGTTGAAATGTGAGTAATTTGTTTGTTAAATATAACGTAATAAAGCTACATAAATCTAATATTTCGAGAAATGGATATAATTTATGATCAAATATTTACATATAATTTTCCATAATGTTGATATGGATGAAATACTTCGTTTTTGCTGGATTTAAATCATGATTTAAGAATACCTTCTATTAATAAAAAATAAAATAATTTTAGTTTTATTTTCTGTGTCAATTTTCTTATTGGCAGTAAAATGTTGTTTTTTACATAATATTGTAAAATATCAACAACAATGATAGATTCTTAGCTGTACTATATGAGTGTTAATATTTCATTGAACACAAATTTTCAAGACTTCAATCATTTTTTGTAGTGGAACAAATTCCTGGAAATATTAGCAAAATACATTCATAAATCCGATAGGTATTATCTTATACATATTTGTACGCTATCAAATAATAACAATAAATCTATTTTCCAGCCATACATGTAATATTATTTATTATTATTATAATAATATTCAATAAAATACTACATCCGAACATTATGTTTGAGTCCTTAGGACCATTATCCGACATTCATTTAGATCGAAATCGTATGTTCTATTATTTATGTATACTCTGTGCTCTATTAATCTATTTCAGTGAGCAATTTTTCAATAGTCTGTTTTGAAACGAAGCTTCCCGCTATAGTGTTATAAATTATACTTTGTATATACATACAGGAAAAACGTATTTATTTTTTTTAATTAGGTATTGACTTGTAGTGCACGCATTAAGGTTTTGGATAAGATGTACAATACAATCATATAATCTCGATTTTCAATATTTATACTCTACAAGTTGTTAAAATATGATTATTAATATTTAATATAATAACATCATATATTTATGACCTTATTAAAAACAATCCTAATATGCATTTAATATAGTTTTTATTTTATTTTTTGATCATGACGCTGATGCAGACTTAATCTCTGACTCATCAAAGCAAAACAATTCTGTACACAATAGAAAATAATTTTTCTTTCTAAAATTGTTTAGTCTGTTGTGATTGTAAAATATATTAAGTATAGAATAAAATCCGTTGGAACATCTAAAGTAAATAATTAATTATATACATATTTCATGTTTTGTTAAAATATATCAAGCCTTGTTTTGGTTTCTTTATTCTACGCTTCACATTCAAATCCAAGCTGTCATAACAGATTTGTTTCTCTTTGATCTTTTTGATCGACAGTTTTGTTTTATAGTTCTCTAGAGACTTTTTGTTTCATAATTTTTTTAGCTGAAAACTCGAACAAGTGTTCTTAACATGTCAGATTTCCACGTTTTAAATGTTTTTCTTCCATTAGGTTTTACTCAATATTAAATATAGTATATGTATATTATACATATAGGCATGATAAAAAAGCTAAAACTTAGTTATATTTTTATAATTTATGTATGTAGTACATTAGTAAAATACATAGAAATTTACCATTATTTTTTAAAAATTAAAATTTTAAAATAATAACTATTAATTTGGGGTAAATATTGAATTTTTGAAAATGTTTGATAACGAGTATTGCGGGTAAAAATTATTTGTTCTATATTAATTTAATTGTGGATATAAATTATTCATATCCACAAAAAAAAAAAAAACAAGAAATGAAAATAGTTTATTTATATTTCACAAAGATTTGATATTAGACTTTATCTCTAATTTAATTATCTCTTCGTGAAACTACTGTAACATCAAATTTAAATGACCCCGTTATTAAACGAATTAATCATAGCGATAATTAAATAAAATCATTCGATAAAAAAACCGAATAAACACACTATATAAATCTATGCAGTCTACAATCATATGAAAAAAGTGAACAAATAGAATATTTATGATAGTTTTAAAAATATCTACAAAAATAGCATCAGTTATTGCATAACTATAATTAATATCTATGTAACCTTGAACACAAATTATTCATGTTGTATTAATATTATCATTAAAATGTACTTTATACACAAATTGAAATATAACTCTTAACTGTTTATGTATAAAATATCGAATAATTTACGTGAATATTATTCATGATCACAAATCTTTAATATTTTATGTAATGAATAGATATTTAAAATAATATTTTTTGATTATTTCCTTGCTTTAAAATGAATAAAAATAAATTATTTCTCGTTTCAAATATTACATATCTATATCGTACCAAATATTTAGTTAGTATTATTATTTATAGCAGATGATGATTTAACCACGAGATATAATTCAGATGTGATGGATCATTGCAACGATACGCATGTGCCATACAATCCCATTACCAATTCTGCGGCTTATTTCGATGATAAAAATCAAAAAACTCGTTCCGAACTTTCATCTCCACCACGATTAAGTAGTAAGTATATTAAGTGTAATATATAATGCATTATACTTATAAATAATACATTTTAGGTATTATATTGTTGTTAACTTGAATAGCTCTGCAACTTATTTTTAAAGTACGCGCACACTCTAAACTCAGACAGTAAATTCATCCCGCCTACTTGAACTATAAGTGCGATGATAACAATTGTCTATAATCATGTAGAAGAAAATACGTTTCTATTTCGCGAGAACTATACACAATAAATATAAATGCATTTTAATCTTTATCATCTCGATAAGTTGTTACACGTTTTGAAAGAGTTTCAACAATTTTTAGTTTTTTATACTTTTTTACATTTAATAAGTTCATACGATATAGCTATAATAATATGTACTAAAATCGACTTATTTGTTATGTGTAGAAGACGAACAACAGGAGCCGTTAAAAAATCCGACTGCTGTTCAAGTGTCAAAACCAAATTCAGTCTGTGATACGAATTCAAGTACAGCTCAACAACCCCGTTGTATCGTAGAAACAATAACTATGACCACGGTTACCGAAAGACAGATCGTACAAGAAACCAGACCTGTCGACGCGTCTAGTGTCGACGGCCCTAAGACCGACGATTCGAAAGCGGGCACGGGAGACGCTCCTGCCACCACTAATCCTGACGAAGGATACGTGATGATCAAGTGTGGTAACAACACGGTGCTGTACAACAACCGGAACCCGAATTCAGCGGTACGACAGCTGTTTCCGGCCACAAAATTCGTGTGTCCGCCGACCCGGATCAAGGAGACTGACGATGCTAGGCTGCTGAACAAATATCTCATCACGGAAGAGTCGCTCCGAGCGTTCGATAGTCGGTCAATGAATGGCGTCTTGAGCGGTGGAGGTTTTAAAAGCGAGCCACACAGCGACGATGACGATGACGACACATCGAACAGCCTGATACGGCGAACCATCGAGCGAAGCACTTTGAGGCGGAACACGTCGAAAAAGAAGAACGTCAACGACACCAAAGAGATTTCGTTAATCGAAAAGATACGGAGGCTGACGTGCGATAGCGACGATGATGCGGATGACTCGGCCAACAGCAAGGTGGTAGCTAAGGAACAAGCTGCCGCTTACACGGTGCTGGTGCAGTGCGAGTCGATGGCTCCGTCCACTACGACCACCACTCCTACGTATAAGAAGCTTACCGAATTGTTCGGTGGAGTTGGCAGCGGTGGCGGTGGCAGCGGACGGCACGATCAACCGCTGCTGCCACCGACCGGTCCGCAACAATCGGTGACCGGTTTCGGGGACCCGACCGGCAAGCCCGACGCCCTGGACCTGTGTGACGGTCACTCGGCCACCGGTAGCCGGGCAGCTGTGCGTTCGATGGCTGGTGGCAAACCGTTTTTGTCCACGTTAGCCACGGCGTGCGTCACGGGCAACGTGCATGGCGCGTCAAGCGGTAGCGGTGGCGGCGGCGGCAGCATGCCGACGACCGGGCTAGCGCAACCGTCGCAGTGCCCGCAACCGGACGTGGTAGCCGGAACTCAAGTGCCCAGTTCGCACAGGCAGGAAGAACTTGCAGCGTTCGTGCAACAGGACTCGGGTCGCCTGGAGAAGATCCGCAAGCAGTACAAGCCGCCCGCGGCCGAGGACGACGACGACGACGAGAATGATGATTATGGGTTCAATCGACGGCCGGAAGTGCACGGCATCCGATCTGGGTTCTCGGCGCAGATCATGATCAAGAACAACCCACAGCCACCGCAGCGGCCGCGCTCGTACTACGGTGACCCGACCAGGCAACCACCGCCCATCGAGGTGCAGCCCGACTTCGTGCCGAGGTATCCGGTATCGGCATCGGCGGCCGCGGTCCGGGCCCGTGTTCAAGGCGAATCACGTGCGCCACCCCCTTACCCAGCCGCCTCCCAACGGTCCATCATCAGGGTGACGCACGGTCAACAACAGCAAACCATCCGAGTGCCGTACCAAGCGGTCGGACCCGTGCAGGTTCACCTGTTGACCACGGCCGCTACGACCGCCTCAAACGTCGGCGGCCACGGTTCGCCACATGTCCAGATTCGGCACCCACCCAACGAGTACATCGTGCAACATGGCCACGCCAGGATTCACCACGGCCAGCAGTTCGTCATTGCCCGCGGCACCCAGACGGCAGCCATATCCACCACTCGATACTACCAGCTGCCGCCGCCCCCGCCACCCAGCATGCAGCAGCAGCAGTTACCGCAGCCGCAATTACCACCGCAAGCTTTCCAGCCGACCGACGAAAACTCCTCGGCGCAGTTCAAACTGACGTCGCCTACCAGAGGAGTGGCCGGCAGCAATAGACACGTTCAGCAACAGCTGCATCAGCAGCAACAAGAGTTTGCCGATCACAATAATTTACCTCCACCCGTATCGCAAACACCCAAAAATCCAGTGCTCTTTTACGGGATGAACGTCTGATGTTGTATTCGTATATGGGAAAAAATGTCTACATCTCTATACACATATATTTATGACGTTTCTAATATTCGTATTCGTATTTTCTAGTTATTGTTGGTCTCCTACGTGTAGAATAATAACCGAAATCCAATTGAGTTTTTATCGTTCTACTATAGGCCAAACAAACATGTATTTCGAATGTTTCATAAACGTTATATTATATAGAGATTATTATAAATAAATTTATATACATATATATATATACACACACAAATATAAATATACTACAAGTCTTCCAGATTTGCAGACGATTACATAAAAATAACACATTTTTTTGGCAAAATTCAAGAAATATAAACATTATCTATATATGATTAAGTCAAAAAGAAAAAAAAATTATATATATATATATATATACGACATACGTACGCTTAAAGACAGCATTTATCGAATTAAGTATATCAATAATGGTTCCAATGAAAGTCAAAAATATTTTATTTTTATTGAATCAAATAATAATCAACACATTTTTTCAAGACCACCGCTTCACGGGTTACAGCGCGAAGAAATATTACAAATAATAATATACGTTATATTAAACTAAAACAAAAGGTAATTTTCGTGCCTACGATTTGATTGTGTAAAAGTAATGAAATTTATTCATACATATAAATTAATAAATATTATATATACACACAATCAAGTTATTGGTCTTTTAAAATGTTAATTAATACAATATATATATTTCAAAATTTTTTTTTTCTGTAATAGTTTATTAAGTTTCACATTATAAAAATGTATAAAAATATAATTTATAAAGTAATTCAATAACAGACTGCGACGAAAATTAAGGGTTGTGAAATTGTAATTACTATACGACTAGGTATAGTTCACTATAAAACACAATTATAATAATCATATCGGAGACAAAAGTGTGTTAGGAAAATTCATATTTAAAATAGATCACTTTTATCCATCAAATAAAATTGAATTTTATTTGACTTACAGTGACAGAATATCTGCACATAATTAACAGAAAATACAAAAGAAAAAAATATTTATTTGACTAGTACATTTTTTCCTGCGTACTGATACAAATACATCCATATAATAATTAATGAGATTCATAGATTATGTGGTATAAAAAGTGCTTAAAAAACAATAGAGATATAATATATTAATATATAATTGTTTAGATAAATTCATAAAATATTTATCAAGCATAAGTAATTGCTTGTCTCGCAAAAAAAGACAATTATCTCAAGGCAATTGAACAGCCATAATACGAGTATATTTAAAAAATAATTTTGATCAAATACTTCCATTGTTTTAATTATTGAATTATTTTTTTTTAAACTATATAATAAATGTATATATATATGACCTATATGTATTGTTACCTATTATATTTAATAGGTCTTGTGAGTTGTAAAATGTTGAGAATTTATTATTTTTTTTTTTTTTTTTAATGTAGTTAAATGTATATTAAATTATTATTAGTTTTGATTATTATAAAATGAAATTTGTTTAAACTTATATAATTTTTGAAAATGAATACAACTGTTAGATTTTTAATGGTTTCGTTAATCCACTCATACACCGAATTTTCATCTCATCATCCTTAGAACAGAAATTACAATATAATTAAACACAAATTTTAACTTATTCTACATGCATATTGTTTTTTTTCATCATTATTATTTGGTGTAATTTAAAAATATATTTATTTTTATTTAAACTAACAATATATGAAAGAATGGTGCCAAAGCGATATTAAACATGAAAAGTACTAAATAATATGTATTATAAAAACATATATAAAATAAATATTTTATTATTTAAAATCAATTAAAATGGTAGGCTGTTAATTATAATTATGTTATATTATAGTTTGAAATATTAGACCATCGTTATATTAAATACTTAGGCCTAAATCGTAATTAATTAAAAATTTTATTATCTGTGCAAATTTTGTTTTCTTATTATTAATATAATTTTTTATTTTAAAGAAAATATAATGTTGTTATTGAAATAAATGTGTATAAATGATTATTTTGTGTTAACTCATTTTTTAAATTATATTATAAAAATTAGTGATGGGTCGAACTGTTCGAATCTTGAACTGAACCGAACCCTTGATGTTCGGTTAATCGAAAATCGAACTTGAAAATATTTGTCGAACCAGACTTACTGGCCACGATAGTTTGAAAACCAAATATTTGTACAATTCTTCAAAAGTTATTTTTGAAAAATAAAAATTGATAATGATTATTTAGAAATAATTAGACTATTGGCGATAGAAAGTGATAGTCTGTAAAGGGCACGTTATGCATTATTTAAATAATAATGCTATTATTATAATAACAATGTTATTTTTCCAGTCGTATGTCACATATTCACCCTCCGCCGTCAAAAACATTAATAATTTGTTTATCGCCAATAAAGGCAGTGTATCTACATTTATAAATTAGCTATTTTTGGTTTTTATCATATTTATTTTAGAGGTTAAAATCTATTTTGGGTAAATTCATGGTAATATTCCGATACCGCGATTGTGCTGTTAATAAAAACATGTTTACAACTTACGTCTTACATTATAAATTCTACTAACCATTCTATATTTGTGAATTTTAGTTATTATTACTATTTTTTTTTTTTATATATTATTAAAATGTACTGATTGTATTGTCATTACATTGTATTTTACTCAATACTCAATACTCAATAAATATTTTATAAACTACTAGACAATACGAGAGAGCACAATACTGGTTTTGAAAAATAATGATAATAATAATAAGAAATTATCTAAAATTTAAATGTATTGTAAATAATACAATGACTTAAACTTAAAAGTTAAAATGTAAAATAGGTAATACGAAAACTTAAAATACAAAAGTAATTAATAATTATGGTTGATTTAATTTGTAGGTAGGTACCATGTACACAATAAAAAGTATTGAGTTCGAGTTCGAGTTCAACTTAAAATCATAATAGGTTCGGTTCAGTTCGAGTTTGAAAAAATAATTTAAAGTTCGGTTCAAGTTCGGTTCGATTTAAAAAATCAGGGTTCGACCCATTACTAACAGAAATACTTGAATTCGCTAAATTATAATTCACTGAATCATTGCATGGAAATTCTCAAATTATAAAATAATTATGAGTTAAATATTTAAAAATTTTGAATTTTTTATCTATAATTACTAATATGGTTAAATATTAGTTCATATTAAATATACATAGATATCTAAAAATTTTATTTTTCATAAAAATATGAAAATTTATAATTTTTAACGTAATACGAGTACATACAATAAGAAAATGGAATCTTTAAAAGTATTAATTATATAAAGGAATATGATAATATGGCTACATGCATACCTTAGATTTTATCTATATACAGCGCCGGATCTAGGAAATTTGACGCCTGGGGCTAATAAAAATGCAGTGCCATTACATTGGTGAAAATACAGGGTATGTTTATAAATTTCATTAATTTTTCATAAGCTTAAGAGCACCCTTATACCAATAGTGCTTGGGGAAAATATACTCACTTATCCCCCCAAAATTGGGCAAATGTAAGTTCCCACACGAGATACAGCAGGTAATAATCACCTTTTGGTTTATTTACTATATTCCTACACAAAAAAAAATTTACTGGTACATAAGTTCCTATACGAATAACATATATAACGAATACAAATTTTTTCCCACTTTATTCAGACTAAGGACTGTTAACGTAGTTTGTGTAGTTAAAAATTGTATGTTTTGTGTTTTGTAAAAAACTCTAATCCAATTTCTAATTGAATCATGTCCAGATACTTGTAAAATAATGTATAGTCAACCACATGTTATACGTATCTAATATGATAATAATTATAATAACATAAATTAAATTTTATGTGGATTATTACAAAAACTCAAACTTTTAATTATAATCATACTGTATTAATTGCTTTTAGTTGTATTCTAATTTTTTTTTTGTTTAAACAATTTTGTTTTTTTTTTGTTTATTTTGTTTATTTTCTGAGGTCTATTGTTATCTTCTTCTTCTTCTTCTTCTTTACTAAAAGCTTCGTCTTGTCGTTACAAATGAATTAATTAGTTATTGTTATCTGATGCTCTTATTTTAATATATGTTTTAGTTTGAAAAATGTTTAAACTTTTATTATTTTTAATATATTAAGATAATGAAATTAAGTTGAATTCTGAGTGATAACTTTCTCAAACATTTGTTGAAAGACTTCTATAAGAACTAGCAATAGCCCCAATACTAGGGGAGGGGGACGTATTATTTTCCTTTATATGATTTTTCATTAAACAATCGCGGAATTCGTTTATTTTATTATTATCTGTTTTTACAGCTATGAAATTATCAACAGAACAATCTGTTGACTTAAGAAATGGTAAACCAAATAAATGTACCAGCCACTTTCCTAGGTTTTAATTTGCGTCATTAAATTCTTGTACTAAACCTAAGCTTTGACTTTTACGATACCAAGCTTAGCCCAAATGGAAACGGCATCCCCTATTACATATTACATATTGTTGTACTTTTGTTCGTATAAGAACTTACGTACCGGTGTATTTTTATGCGTACAGGAATTTATGTACCAGTATATTTTTTTCATGTTGGAACTTACATAATTAAACGTTTATCTGTTATGCTTCGTGTAGTAACTTACTATCTCCCCAAGATACTAGATTATTTTCGAAAAAGTTGATACAAACAATTATAAAATAATAATTATTATGGGTTCCTCCATGTTATAGGTGAATGAGTCAATCAGTTTTTGGTCCAGGTTTAACCCCTGCAATTTAATTTTAATGATTTTAAAAAACAATCTCGAATAATCTGATAAATTGTATGTTTTTGATTTCAAATGTTATATATATATAAATATATCGATCTCATTTTTAACATTTCCACATGAGTTTGTTTCTTTAATACTATCAAATTAAAACAATATCACGGCGATAAATCTATGTTAAATTATAGTATTAGGTCAGTATATAATGTGGCTTGTTTGAATAGCATTTAGAAATGTCTGATCATTGATGCTCACTTACAAAAGTGATCAATTCGTTTTTTTGTAAACAGCATTAAATGTTTGGTATTTAAAAATATTACAATAATGTAACAAGAAAAAATATAATACATATATATTTTGTACAGTTTAATTCATAAACAACCAATAAAATGATCGACTTGATATTTCAATTTGTACAGTCTGTATTTTTAGTACTCCATTATGTGAATTGCCAACATTTGACCTTTTTCATAGGTTTTTAACCATTTGACATTTGACCTCCGAAATAAATTCTTCAGATTGTCTTATACTATAAAAATTATTATTGTCATTATTATGCTTGTTAACTGTAACATGTACGTATAAAGCGATAAATAAATACACGTCACTTCTTTTTAAATTTGAAAAAATAACGTAGAACCTATAAATATAATCAAGATTTTGTTGAATTAAATAAATAACATTTTGAAGTGGAAACTGATCAGAAATAATTAATTATAAATAAATCTTACTCCATATTGGCGTATTATCAACGACATCCTAATGATTTTTAGAGCCAGGAGCAAATTAGTTTGGAGATCCCTCAATCATCTCAATAATATATGAATATGATAAAAAAAAACACCTCACAAGGTTTGCAAAATGTTGGTAAATATAGTTTTTCAAACCTGAACCAA